CGCTAATGATGGAGCAGATGTCCCAGACAATGAAAGCCATGCAGAATATGATGGAAGTAACTACCGAAACTCTCAGGCTAGTGAACAAAGGACATACTACAAACAGCAAGCTGAAGCCTAGAATATCGAGAATCGACTCAAACAACAACAAGTCGGAGACAGAAAATAAGGAAAGCAATCACGAGGAATCAAATGAAGATTCAGAACAGTCTGAAAATGAGCAATCTGTCAACTCAATTGCCACAAAGGATTTGTTTGAGTCGAAGAAATCAGATAGCCACAAGCTTGACTGTAAGCTTCCGCCTTACACAGGTTCCGAGAAATGGAGAGTTTGGCTGAATCGGTTTGAGTCCGTAGCCGAGTTAGCCAAGTGGACTGATAAAGAGAAGTTACAACAGATATTACCAAGAATACAGGGAATTGCAGCTGATTTTGTTTTTGGTCAGCTGAAGAAGGAGGCTATTGGGAACTATGAGACGTTGGTTGCAGAAATAGAATCCAGATTCGGAACTCTAGAGAATAAGAGAGTGTACAAAACTCAATTCAACAACAAAAGGCAAAGAAAAGATGAAAGTCTTGAAGAGTATGCTGCTGACATTAAGCGTCTTTATGACTGGGCTCACCCAAGTAGAGATGCCAGCACCAGACAGGAAGACCTGATTTCAAAATTTTTGCAAGGTTTATGGGATTCAAAGGCACGGCAGTACATTGAATTACACAAAGAACCATCAACAATTGAAGAGGCAGTACAGCAGGTAGCTGCTTATATGTCAGTCACCTCTAATATGACCACAAATGAAGAGAGACACCCTATCAGGCAGGCTAAGCCTTACGGAAAGGGAGACGATCGTTATACTGGGAAGGGAAATGCAAATTCCATGAAGATGACAAAGGGGAATTGCTTCATATGCAACATGCCCGGACATTTCGCCCGAGAGTGCCCGGATAGGAATTTTCACAGGACAGAGAAATCACAGTACAGGAAACATCCTGAGAAAACTATGTCATCATCTCTACCAAGTAAAGATGACCAGCCAGAGCCAAACCAAAGCCAAGCTACAAGTACCATGTCACCTGATGCACCAGAATTTCAACAAAGTCAACTAGAACTGTCCAATAGGGACAAATACCCCCGCTGGGTTTTTCAGAGTAGGTGCCAATTCAGAAATATTTTATGGATCTAGTAAGAGGTGTTCACTATTGTCTAATAAAGTGCTCCGCCACAGCATGATACGCCAATCAAATATTGTTCAAGAATCATAACTTGGTTAGGGTGCAAGAAAATCAAGTATCCTTGATTAACAGATTGACACAGATTTCAATGATTTATTTTCCATTTCTTATCAGGTTTAAAATATTTTACATACATCTCTAGGAGACTTACAGTGTAGGGATTAATTAAAACAAATAATACATACATCATATAATTCTAAACTGGCTGTGTTAGAGCTTAACAAATATCCATCTGCAGCTTTAAATTGTTTATTGCATATTTTATGAAATAATGGAAATGCTACAGTCTAATAAAAAAAAATCAAAAATTAATAATTATTCTTTAGACTATAAAATTCTAAGTGAGACATGACTGCAATTTGTTGCAAATATATAAAATTTGAAATGTATTTTTTTTTCAATGAACACATGTATAATAAATTTTAATTATATTATACAATACTAATTCAGTTTTAATCAGTTTTAATCATACACTAAAACATCAATTTGTTTTAATTACATTACACCAATTGAAAGATCTTTATCTGAACTACAGCCATCAAGAACTCTTAATTAACACAAGCAACTATAAGGCCATTTCCTTTTGCTCAACTCCCAAGAGATGAATTAAGATAATACTGCATGATGCTCTTGCCAGTTAACTCCCGACAATGAACTCATTAATTTCTCTCTAATTTGACATGCACATTTCTGCTATCAAAAATTCTCCTTGACCAGTGCTTGATAATTATGCCCATGGGACAAACTGAATTCCTCTCAAATCATTAACATTTTTTACAGAATTTGCTGTAAAGTATATGATGAAAAAATAAGTTTTTACTTAATTTAGCATTTTTTAATATGGATACAACTATATTTTTACATTTTTTAGGATTATGAAATTTAAAATTTTAAAGACTTAGTTTTTTTAAAAAAATCACTTAAATTAAAGGTCACAGTGACCTTGAAATAGTTCGTGACACACCGTCTACCCAAGATGCATAAATTGTCCAAGTTTGATGATTGTAAGTCTAATAGTTTTCTAGTTATGAGCCAAACAAAATCACAAAATTAAAAAGGAAAAACGCCTTTAAAATGCAGAAAAATCATCCAATCATGATAAAAATCCCAGGTGCACACCTTCATATGGTGAATAATAAGTGTATAAATTTTCAGACAAATCCATCCAACAGTTTCTGAGAAATGGTCCGGACAAAATCTTGTCTACAGACAGACGGACAGACGGACAGACGGACATGGTGATTCCAATATACCCCCCTAAACTTCGTTTGCGGGGGTATAACAATCAACATGGAATGGACACTCGAATAACGATTGCGGAGACAAACAGGAGAAACTTTTAAACTAGAAGGGGTCAGCTCCGGAGGCCAAGAGAAGACCCAAAGTAACAAAGGCCAAAATGACTGTAAAATTTTAATCGAACCTAATTTAAGTGGAAATTTAGATGAATCAGGGGAGGAAATTGAAAACCAGGGGAAATTCCAGCCTTACGTCAGGGACGTTTCAAGGGAAGAGGAACTGAGTGCTCAGAGGGAGTACATAAGGAGACAGCTCCTCAAGGCGGATGGAATTTACGTTCAGGGAACGATTCAAGGGATAAAAGTGGAGTTCACAGCAGACACAGGGGCTGCAAGAACTATCTTATCCGACAAAATATTTTGGAGACTCCCCGGGAACAGAAGACCAGAGCTAAAGGAATCTTCAAGCCTTGTAGCGGTCAATGGAGATCCACTTCAAGTCTTAGGGAAGGCTGAATTTGCAGTGCAGTTAGGAAATCTAGAATTTCAAAGGGAGATAACTGTTGCGGGAATAGAAGATGAATGCCTCTTAGGTATGGACATCTTGTTGGGCCTGCAGTTATCAAATTGAATGACAGTTTCATTTCCATGAATGGCTGTAAAATACCTTTCACAAAAGCGAGTCGAATTCAAGATGGTGCTGGAAGATTCGTGTACATGACTTTTGACAATGGCTAGCAGACCTGCGTTGAAGTCTTCAGTAAAGAAAATTAGTTAGAATGTGGTGTAAGTATGGTCAGAGTTTAGATATATGCATTTTTTAAAATTTTGTCTTTATTTTTGTATATTAAAAGAAAAATTTCTAACAATTAAGTATGTTAGTATTGGGAAACAGAGGAGATAATGACTTTGTCTAGTGTACATTTTTAACGTTAATTTATTATTGATGGAGAAATATATTGAATTATATAGACGAATATTGTTGTTTTTTTAATCTTAAGAATTTGGTGAGGACACCAAAGTTTTTAAGAGGGGGAAAATGTCACGATTGTGACAATGATGCAGATCGTTTTATATAGATTTCATGTTACCCTGTACATTGATTTGATACTATGATTTGTAGATCGTATAAACGGTTAAATTTCTTATTATGATTTACTGTACTTACATATTTGTAGGGCATGATCCTATTGTTATCGTATTATCATCCTGGACTAATAACTATACTGTAATAAGCTGAATTAGTTGTATTTATCGTTTCAAACTCTGTAACTTTATTTATAGAAACCGCCATCATGATGATTATTTTGTGGAATGTCACGCCCGATTTTAATTGTAATTTTCTGTATACTAAGCATATTTATCGAAATTTAATACTTAGGGGATATTGTCATTTTGTATAAATGTTTTATATTATGATTGTCATATTTTTATGTTGATTATTTATTGTTATTGTTAAACATATTTTGACAATGATTATTGCCGGTGGCTGCCGGTGACTGCCGGTGGTACCGGAGATCTGCCGGTCGTCCCTAGGGAAGCGCGTGGGTCTCCGGGGGGACTGTCGAGAGCTATAAAAGCAGGGGATAAGAACTGCCGGTGGGACTCGGCATTTAGATTTTGAGGTTAGCGGTTGTTTATTTGATTCTTAGCATTTTTCATTAGGAATTTAGTAATTTTTGAATTAATTCATCGATTTTCTTATAGTGAATACGGGTTAATCTCGTTTCACTATTAATTGCTAGTATTTATCGTAGGACGTTTATATTGGGTTAATCTCGATATTAAACGATTAAATAATTTTGTTACGGTTTGACTGAAAGTGAGTCTTGAAGTCTTTCCGTGTAAATAATTGTTTATCTTTGATCGATTTTAGGAATTCAGTCAATTTAAAGTAATAATCTAGTTGCATTTATTGGAATATCCAAGCAGGAATTAAGGCTAGGAGTTGATATAGAAATTATAGAGATAAATTTCTTGCTTTAAATAGCTTTTATAGATTGTGTAGATTCTTTCAGAAATACTTTGGTTATTCTAAGGTATTTCTATAGTATTTAATATTCACTAATCGGGTCATTCTCGTTTAGTGCGCCCCCCCCCGTTTTATCGTATTAACGTAATACGAAGGTTGTGTTAGTGTAGTAATTCATTGTGAATTTGGGTGATTCCCGACTTCCATTGAATTTTATTGTAATTGAATATTAATTAATACATATTGTGACTTTAATTTATTGAATAAATTTGTAAACTTTAAATAAGGCTTATCATTTAACTTCCCCGTAGTTATTTACGAGTCCAAACACAGGTTATTCTTGTGTTATTATAGGAGATCTTTATTTACGGGTAATTCTCGTTAATCATCAAAGTACTACATGGGTTATTCCCGCGTAGGTAATTAAAGTACTTGTGCGTGAGATCCAAGCAGCTCAGGTCCGTTACATGTACTTTAAATATTCCATCTAGTCAGAAACCAGAGAAGAATCCTACCTTAATCTAATGATTGGAGACACGTAGAATGACTCTGTATACCTTGACAAGCTTTTCCATTGATTCTTTACTGTAAGGACACTCTGTAACGTCAGGGGGCTGCCTTGTTAATTCAGCTTCCTCCATATTACACATTGGTGTTATATTAAAGGCATACAGATACTGAAATCAAGGACACATTGGTGTTATATTAAAGGCATACAAATACTGAAATCAAGGACACATTGGTGTTATATTAAAGGCATACAGATTCTGAAATCAAGGACACATTGGTGTTATATTAAAGGCATACAGATTCTGAAATCAAGGACACACTGGTGTTATATTAAAGGCATACAGATTCTGAAATCAAGGACACATTGGTGTTATATTAAAGGCATACAGATTCTGAAATCAAGGACACACTGGTGTTATATTAAAGGCATACAGATTCTGAAATCAAGGACACATTGGTGTTATATTAAAGGCATACAGATACTGAAATCAAGGACACATTAGTGTTACTGTAAATCACTTTTTATTCGCGAGAACTTTATTTTCGCGTAATTACACGAGACAGTGTGCTCGCGAAAATTAAATTCTCGCGTATAATAGCATTTCTTAAGATTATATAGAGCAATAACCACAATTCGTGAAAATTTTGTCTCGCTAATCAAGAGTCAATGACTATCTCGCGAAAATAATGTGTCGCGAAAATATAGTGATCTACAGTATATTAAAGGCATACAGATACTGAAATCAAGGACAAAATACTGAGATATGGAAATCAGCAGGCACTCTGACGGACCTAGGCCCAAATGCTTTAGCATTGAAAGAAATCAAAATGTATTTATGAAATGAAGTATACTAAAGAAAATGGAATAAAACCAGAATTAAAAATATATTACCCAATACTTCTAGAAAATGATTTAAAAAATATGACAGGATTATGTACCTTTTTCTTTTGAGAGTTATTAACTTTGGCAAGGGAGATAAATCTTGTAACGTGCTTCTCTTTCTCAGCCAAAACCTTGTGGTTTCTAAATTTAAAGATGAGTACATATGTTAACTTGAATTCACAATATTTGATATTAAAATAGAAATGAATACAAGCTTCTAATTAACAGAGGAGCAGTCTCTAGAATCACCTGTATGGCTGTCTCTCATAAAACACGTCCTGACAAGCACAGAAGTGATAGCGCGGCTTCAGCAGTACGGCTAGATGTGAGATCAGGCTGGATCCACCACTCTCTGTGTCAGCTTCCTGTTAGGAATTAACACTGCAATTAACTTCATACAGAAATCAACATCAGAAATGAAAGATTATAAAACTCTTTTTCAAACTGTTATCAATTAGCCATTTAGACTGTTATCAGAAATCCAATTTAAAACATGTAAAAGGTGTTTAATATTACAGAAACATCTTGTCCCAGCAAGGGGGAAATGAAAGGGTGCTGCATCTGCATTTAAATCTCTTCATGTGTGCCCCATGAGTGCATTCCTGGATGCATCATTTGTAAAATTTATTATTTTTTTTTATCAAACAGCAAGACTCTGTCAATGTTTGTGTCCATCCAAGTGATATCTTAATTTTCTAACCATATCAAAAGTGTATTTATTATTTTAATGGAATTATTTACCAAAAAGTGAACTTGCTGGGATTTTTGTAAATCATTTACCACATCAGAAGTGTATTTGCTGGGATTATTTACCACACTAGAAGCATATTTGCTGGGATTTTTGTAAATTATTTACCACATCAGAAGTGTATTTGCTGAGATTATTTACCACACTAGAAGCGTATTTGCTGGGATTTTTGGGCCACTGTGAAGTCAGTAAGATATCGACTCCCCGGAACTTTGTGTCGCTTTCTATGGGTAACAGGAGGGTAGATACATCCTCACTGGTGAAGTGGCCCATGTCTGACCTCTCCCCCTCCACCCCACTCAGGTAGGCCAAGGAGAGTCCAGAACTGCCCGTAAAAGTCCCCCTCCTTCCTGTAACACACAATAATAACACAGAATATATCAACATAAAACTCAGGTAGGCCAAAGAGAGTCCAGAACTGCTGGTAAAAGCCCCCCTCTGTCCTGTAACAACTTAGAAGATATCAACATAAAACCAGACATGCTATAAAAAAAGGTACTCATCCATAGGCTAAATCTTTCTCAGTCATTAAAAACTTTCATGGATTGTTGATGGTTTGCAGTTAAAATGTCATTAATCTATATAAATGCAAATACTGACAAAAGGTGGTACAAACATTAAAAAAAATTCCTACCCAAATATGTCACATTATCACACAGTTCTAGGCCATCTTTGTTGTTCTGGTATACATCTGAGAGAGATGCATCACAAGGTCCCAGTATTAATGTAGGAATGGGTACTGTAACATACGATTATATACATGGACTGGGTAAGATGTTTTACACAAGCTTATATTTCATTTTAACATCACTTGGTTTATCAACTTTTAATTAAATTTGCTTAACTTTTTTCAACTTTATTTTACTTTCATTTGTTCTCTAGTTTACTTTGCCTTGATTTGTTCTCAAGTTTACTTTGCCTTGATTTGTTCTCAAGTTTACTTTGCCTTGATTTGTTCTCAAGTTTACTTTGTCCTGATTTGTTCTCAAGTTTACTTTGTCCTGATTTGTTCTCAAGTTTACTTTGCCTTGATTTGTTCTCAAGTTTACTTTGTCCTGATTTGTTCTCATCTTTACTTTGCCATGATTTGTTCTCACCTTTACTTTGTCCTGATTTGTTCTCACCTTTACTTTACCTTGATTTGTTCTCACCTTTACTTTGTCCTGATTTGTTCTCACCTTTACTTTACCTTGATTTGCTCTCACCTTTACTTTGTCCTGATTTATCCTCACCTTTACTTTACCTTGATTTGTTCTCACCTTTACTTTGTCCTGATTTGTTCTCACCTTTACTTTGTCCTGATTTGTTCTCCCCTTTACTTTGCCCTGATTTGTTCTCACCTTTACTTTGCCATGATTTGTTCTCACCTTTACTTTGCCCTGATTTGTTCTCACCTTTACTTTGCCCTGATTTGTTCTCACCTTTACTTTACCTTGATTTGTCTCACCTTTACTTTGTCCTGATTTTTTCCTGATTTGTTCTCACCTTTACTTTGCCCTGATTTGTTCTCACCTTTACTTTGCCCTGATTTGTTCTCACCTTTACTTTGCCGATTTGTTCTCACCTTTACTTTGCCATGATTTGTTCTCATCTTTACTTTGTCCTGATTTGTTCTCACCTTTACTTTGTCCTGATTTGTTCTCACCTTTACTTTGTCCTGATTTGTTCTCACCTTTACTTTGCCCTGATTTGTTCTCACCTTTACGTTGTCCTGATTTGTTCTCACCTTTACTTTGCCCTGATTTGTTCTCACCTTTACTTTGTCATGATTTGTTCTCACCTTTACTTTGCCCTGATTTGTTCTCACCTTTACTTTGCCATGATTTGTTCTCACCTTTACTTTGTCCTGATTTGTTCTCATCTCTACTTTGCCCTGATTTGTTCTCACCTTTACTTTGCCCTGATTTGTTCTCACCTTTACTTTGCCATGATTTGTTCTCACATTTACTTTGTCCTGATTTGTTCTCACCTTTACTTTGCCCTGATTTGTTCTCACCTTTACTTTGTCCTGATTTGTTCTCACCTTTACTTTGCCATGATTTGTTCTCACCTTTACTTTGTCCTGATTTGTTCTCACCTTTACTTTGCCCTGATTTGTTCTCACCTTTACTTTGTCCTGATTTGTTCTCACCTTTACTTTGTCCTGATTTGTTCTCACCTTTACTTTGCCTTGATTTGTTCTCACCTTTACTTTGCCTTGATTTGTTCTCACCTTTACTTTGCCCTGATTTGTTCTCACCTTTACTTTGTCCTGATTTGTTCTCACCTTTACTTTGTCCTGATTTGTTCTCATCTCTACTTTGCCCTGATTTGTTCTCACCTTTACTTTGCCCTGATTTGTTCTCACCTTTACTTTGCCCTGATTTGTTCTCACCTTTACTTTGCCCTGATTGTTCTCACCTTTAGTTTGCCCTGATTTGTATTTCTCCCACTCAGTATTGGTCTTCCCAAAAAATTCTCCTACACAAAGCAGTAACTGAAATACAACCAGTGTTCTGAGGTTACTTAAATTCTTCTTACATTTTCAATGGGAACAAATTGAGAGGTAAAACATACAGTAGATACATGTTTTTCTAATATATGGATAGATGATCAGATGAATCTAGTTAATTATCTTAAATATTTGTTTTCTCAAAGCCTTGCTCAGTATCCTGAGTTCAAGATAATGGCGTTTTACTGTAATTATTTTCTGTTCTACTAACAGGGATGGGGTCAATTACTTTCAAAAGTAATCGATTAAATTACAATTACTTTGGATTTTAAAAGTAATCGATTACAAGCTGATTACAGGCATTTTTTAAAGTAATCAATTACATCTGATTACTTTTCCTTCATGTAATCATGATTACTTATGATTACTTTAGATTACATTAAGTTTTAATTTTTTTTTGTTTAATATTCAAGGACAACGGCATGTTTTTATTCATCTTTCTTTATATATCATTAACATTTTTAAGGTAGAATTCAGACAAAGTTTGGTTGTATATGTCTTTATTTAGATACATGATATTTATCTTATAACACCTGATTTCTATCTTTAATACAAGTAAAATATCTTGTTACTGTTGAGAGAAATAGAAAAAAGAATTTATTATAGTTTTTTTATAAATCAAACTTGACATAATTATAGGTAGAGATAAAGGGATTCAACAGGGAACTGTTCACAAGTAATTGACCTTCTCAATGAGTGATAGACTTTTAACTGCCAATCATTAGATGTTTTTACAGGAATTAACACATTGACTGGACAAACATGGATAGTTCAATAATTAATATTACCCAAGCTGACCCAACTTTAGTATATCTGTGTCTTATGACTAATTAATTCACATTATCTTTTCATGCACACTGTAGATCAAACAAAGTGAATTTTAGAATATGTCTCAATAAAGGAACATTTGCTATTTAAAAATAAACAAGTTTTTTCAAAGATTTACAGGGAAAACAAATTGTTGCATAACACACATGTTCATTAAATTTGAAACAAAATAAATCAAACTTTAGAATGACCTTGTAGTAATTTTCTATCAGTATATACATATATCTTGTCAAAAATAGCGAATTGCTAAGCTGCTAAAGTATTTTGAAATGAATACCAAATATTTGCTAGCAAGGAACTGATAGAATTTACTCATAGCCAGGACAATGGACCTGATTATAAGCATTTCTGGAGACATTAGAAGAAGATAATTAAATATAGCTTATAATTCTAAAACTTTTTTCAATAAACAATTTTATACACTGAAAAATATTAACTGAAAATCATCAAAAATCATGATTTTATGAACTTTGTTTTCAAAATTGTAATCATAAAGTAATCAAAAAGTAATCATGATTACAGGACTTTTTTCACAGTAATCGATTAAATTACGATTACTTGTACTGTAATCAGAAAAATGGGTGATTACTGATTACTCATGATTACTTGACAAACTGTAATCGATTACAACTTATTACGATTACTGATTATGATTACCCCATCCCTGTCTACTAAAAATAAAGTTGCTTAGCATATGAATTCCTATTACATCCAATTAAGGCAAAGAGGAAGGAAGATGGAGAATAGATATTGGTTCACCTATTATGGGGGGAGGGGAGGGGACAGATAACCTTAACATATCCATTGTGATTGAGATACTCATGCTCAAGAAAAGGAAGTTTAACTTATGCTTGTGGTCATTAAATCATGTACTAAGTAATTCATTCTTACATCAAAGCTGCCACTTTTCTTCTGTATAGCACTGACACGACCAAACAGTTTGTCAAAGTGACCCTCCACATCTCCACTCACCAAGCTAAACAAAATAAACACTGTACATCACTAAATGTTATATGCGTAGACATATTAATTAATATATATGTACTCAATCTAAAACATGTAAAAACTGACCTAAAATTTGCTGCCTTTAACTTTCTGTAACATATCGTAAAGATTTTAAAAGGAAATGGTTTTGACCCCTGATAACCAGCTTCATTGTTAATTAGCTTTTGTCAATTTTTTCAATGAATAATAACAATATTTAATAATTTTTTTTTTTCAGAGAATAAGGTTAAACATTTTGTTAAAAAAAAGAAAAAAACTGAACTTTGAATTTGGGGTTAAAAAGGACAAAAATCTTACATTTGAATTTTTTTTTATCACTAACGCTCTCTCATATATGCTGAAATCGCGTTCTGCAACATTTTAATGTGTTTTCTGGTAAGCAGTAAAGTAGAGTGTTTAAATTGTATATACAGCTTCAAACAGTACTCAGTTATCAACACACGCAAGTGCTTGCCCCAACTGCAGTTGTTCATATTTTCTTCTTTCTATTTGACCACCATTACACAGTACACACTCCCTTGACCAGGTCCAGTACAATCTCTTGATTTAGCTATATAGCTTTAAATAGCTATAAAGCTTTATTAAGCTATTCAGTATAGCTTAACTTAGCTATTTTACTGCACTTTTTTCTTAAAGGTGTAATTTTCTCAGTATGTACAAAAAAGCGCATCTTGGTGCAGTGACGATATACAACTTTGAACTCTTCTTAAAATAATGCATGTAAAAATCACTCATCAAATTACGTCTCCTTGAGAGACTTTGTACTCAAAGTTTTACAAGTTTTGGGGCTATACAAAGCAACTGATACAGTTACTTCTGCAATGATATTATAATGAAAACCAGTTATCATGATTATGTTCAACAAGACAATTGATTGGTAACAGTTCAGCACAATGAGAAGCAATCATACTTATCCTTGCCTCAAGGCAGCCAAGGTAGTGAACAGTTTCTAACAATAATTCTCTTTTTGCTTAAAAGTAAAAAGCTGCAAAGTTAAAACTTTCTTTGATTTTGGTTGTTGTTTTGATAGCCCATATTACAAATATGAAGAGTCAAATACAGCCTTTTTGTTTATTTTCAGCAAAAAAATAAACAACTTTATATTTTACTGGATTTTAACATTTTAAAAGGTAATAAAGCTATATAGCTATTTAAAGCTATATAGCTAAACACTTTAAGGACCTGTTGACAAGCCCACGAATTCCAACCGTCGCATCATCAACCACATTAGATTAAATATCATCAGATAATCACCATTTTTATAGGTCCCATTGAAAGAGAAAGTGGTCATTCATTAGAGAAAATCTTACTAACCCAAGGACCATGCTCTGTGGCAAGTTTGGTTGAAAGGAAAAATTGACAGCTTTTGGCAGACGACAGTCAGACTGACATTATATGTACCCTTCGATCAAAAAAGCTTACTGACAACTTAAGTTAAGATGGGCTATTAAAAAATTTCTTAAACTTACATTTTCAATGCCTTAGTCGTTGAAGTCATTGCGAGGAAGATGTTTTTAATTTTGCCGCTGATCCATGGGCGCCGCCATGTTTTTTTTTTTTATTATTCGATCATCCACTTGCTATTTCGTACTGTTACTTGATATATTCTTTATTTGAAAATCGATTTATAATTCGTTTTTCAATATTCAATTCTAGAAATAAATTGGTTAAAAGAGATAAATGTAAATGAAATACACAATATAATTTTTTATCAAATAAAATTACGTACACATTACCAAATTTCTAAATTTTCCGCGGAACTGCTTTGTTTACACATGTCTACCTGGGACGCAACACGCATCCGACTTCTGGAAAAGTGAGACAGATATTCTTGCCTAGGCAGTAACAGACTGAAGACAACAGACAGAAGAGATGGCTAACGGATTTGGGACGATAACTTGGTGGGGATTCAGTCCAGCTTTGGACCTTCAGGACAAAGGTACGATTTCTTTTTCACATCGAAATCTTTTGATGAATGATGTGTCAGAAAACTCCAGAATTGAAACAATAAAGATAGGCCTAGACTAAATGGTAATTGAAACCAGACAATATGTGTTTTGCTAAAAAAAAAAATTGCAAGGACTCAAACTGTAAGTTGAAGCCTTGTGCGATCAAGAAATAGCAAGTTTGATATTCATTTTCAGATTGCAAATATTGAAAATGGGCACAAATGCTTGCATTGGTTTATTTTTGTGTCTATGTGTCTTGAAAATTAGGATGCTTTAAAAAAGTTTTAAAGCAGTCATTCATTAAATTTTTATGTAATTGTTGTAATGTGTAGATAGAACATTCTATCATTATAATAAAATTGTTCTGTGGATCCTGTTCTAACTATATTGTGTGATACAGGGGTGAAAACTCTATAATTTATTGTTTTAAAAATTTATCATGGACAGATGACCATTCCATTTATTACAAGTATGGTACAAAAAGTGTAGGATATATATCATATAAATCTATTAAAGTGGTAAATACGAATCCCATATGTACTTTTGAGCATATTTGTTACAGATAAAAGAATTCTATGTCTAGCAATAGCTAAATTTCAAACTCTGATGACAAAAAACAGTTTTTAAAGATAATAATACACTATGCTTCTTTTCATTTCAGATTTATTAACTGCAGTAAACAGGATGAAAATAAGCGAGAAGGAAAATGGTTTGTGTAATTAATTAAACAAAATGTATGTATGTAAATTTATGATAATGAAGTGATTTAGTAGAGCAGTCATTCAGATTTTTGAAGCTTGTGTATCTATTTACAGCATGTTTATACTTCAAGTAAAAGTGAATTCAAATATTTTTCATATTCAATATTTCCACCATGTCTGTTTTTACTATTTAATTTTCTGATTTATTCTTTATTTGTTTTAGTAATTTTTAATTTTGAAAGTTCAAAATTCATTTAATATTGGAAGTAAACATTTTAAAAGATTTAATTTATCGATAAGTATTTGATTGTAATAAAATAAACATACTTTTTTAAAATGAATAATGAGTGCAGTAATTACAATAGAATATACATCTGTTGGATATGATAAAATGGCAGGAAAAGAAACTGTGCCTAAATAAATTACAAACAAACCCCAGTATTCACTGTAGAAATGTCTTCAAATTTAATTATTTATTGTACATAAATGACATCTTATGTGATAATTATTGATATTTTGAATTAGATGAGCTGAAGATTTTGCTGGTGGGGTCTGGAGATTTGAGACATGTTTTGATGACTATAGCTAGATCCTACCGCCACCAGCCCAGAAAGCTCCACGTAAGTAATCTACATTTCTACATCAAAGTTACAGTAATCCATGAAAATTCATCTTAATCTGAACACAAATGTTACACTATATTCTTGTAAAGAAAATTTCTACGTGGTTACACATACCGGCCATAGGATAATTTCTTCATAAAAGTTACACTAATTCACTGAAGATTAAGATAATCACAATTTTCAAGTATAAACTACACTAATCCATGTAAAACAATCTCAATCTCTACATAAAAATTACACGTACACTTTTACACATAAAACAATCTCTACATAAGTTAGTAAACTTACACAAGTTTACATAAATCCATGTAAATTCTCTACAAAAAAACTTAAACTTGTGTCTGAATTAAGGTTACCAGTATACAAGTATATGGCCAAAATAGATGGAGTCAGTACTCATTTTAATCTGTTCTGGAAATTCAGTTTGATTGCTAAGACTTTTTTTGTTTGATATCAAGCTTTACAAAGGTTCAAGATACATTAATAATATTTATTAAAGATAAAGGGTTGGTGCTTCACCTGGTAGCCATGGTATGAATTAAGATATCATTGGCTGAGATACAATTGTAATGAAACTTTAATGTTTGAACTATGATCAGTTGAAATATCTATATGCATACCACTTTTGCTCTCTGAGTTTAATATTCTGGAAAATGTAAAGGAGCTCATAGTACACAGATCTGAGCTAAGACCCATTATATATGTAATTACTTTGTAGTTTTACATTCTGGAGAATGCGTTGGAGTTGTATGCTAGAGACCTGTTATTTCTGGCGCTGAGTTTGGAGACACCAAAGCGGATGGGATTACAAGGTAAAATAAGTAATCATATTAAAAATAAACCAAAATCTTGTCACACCTGTATGACAGTCTGAATATTATGTAGCTTAGTAGCCATATATATACATGTAATTAATGCATGTTATGAATGCCCACACTTCTTAAGCTCTCTTTCATTTTAATGTTATAATTTATTTGTAATGTTTCTTTCCTATGCAGAGAAAACAGAAATGTTCCTTGAACTCTTTGGCAATCTTCTGGTCCGGAAACAGGCTTGTGAATATGTGGAGAAAATGGCAAACGAGTTCATCAAGTGAGTATTAATAAATGTGTTCATCATGTGAGTATTAGATAAGTATCACTTCAGTGTTTGATGTAATGATATAAATTTAATGTATTCTCTGGTTTATTAGATGTTACAGGATCACTTCAGTGTTTGATTTAATGATATAAATGTATTATCTGTTGTAGGATGGTGACAGATTCAGACTATCTCGCTCAGAAGCTACCAATGTTAGATCTCTCTCAGTTAAAGGTAACATTAAAAGCCTTGTCAAATTTCTGTAAGGATCTAAATCAGTTATGCCATCTGATCAGATAAACACCCAGATATTGTAAACCAATTTTTATTTTTGCCGCGAACTGGTCCTTAAAGTCACTGTGTCTATTAAAAACGTATCAAAAAAAAGAACTGATCGTGGAAATTAATTCTCGCAAACTAGTTTACCATTAGTAAATTGCAAAAATAAATTCGTCACGAATAAAAGTTGGTTTACAGTATTTCATCATTTGTGAAATTTTCCTCTGATACGAATTAACAATCGGACAAAAGATGATATTATTAAATATTTCACAAGGAAATTCTTTTAACTAATATTTTCTGGTATCCTTTTTTCAGTTTAAAGAGAGAGATTTTCTTGAGGGGATTTTCAAGTTCTGGAGAAATCCATCATCAGAAGTATTTGATGCTGAAAAACATTGGTAAATAGATTGTTTGGAGTTGTATTTAACACTGTGTATTTCATACTCTTAAGTACTGTTGCATACAAAATCTACCAATGTTTTTTTATGTAACATCACATTTACGTTTCATTCACACTATTATAAGAAATGCAAGGATTTTATAGAGAGTGTATATATTAACTGTAGTTATAGAAGTATGTAAGAATAATATAGAGTGATTTAATTATATTCTGCTTCAAAGGAGCGGGTATACCCTTTCACCCGTGTGTGTCTATCTGTCCATCTATGAAGCTGTCCATAACATTTTTGTCGCAGTTTTCTCTGCATGCGCAACTAATCATCGAAGATGTTTACAATTTTAGCACACTCTTTGTCTAGGCATGCCATAAAACCAGGGATTCATTTCTGTACAAATCCAATGTCATCTTCCTGTTTATCTGTGTCTGTCTGAATCATTAATTTTCTTCAAAGCTTTCTCAACAACTAATCATTGCAGATGGTTGAAATTAAAGCACACTCTTTGTTGAGGCATGCCTGGTGGGATTCATTTTTGAACCAATATTGTATAATTGTAGATTGGATGTTTTATCTTTGTTTTAAGGATATGAAACAGAGACAATTCCTAGGTCATGATATGACTGTAGATTGAATGTTTTAATTATCTTCGTTTTAGGGATATATGAGGCAATTCCTAGGTCATAATATGATTGTAGACTAAATGTTTTATCTTTTTTAAGGGATATGAGACAGAGACAATACCTAGGACCCAGATATGACTGTAGATTGAATGCTTATGATTGGGATTATCACATGAAACTGGTCAACAAAGAGGTTAGGAGGATTAAATCAGCTTTAAGCTTAATGAATACTGTAGAACCATTCTATTAAACATTTACTGAATACATTCTGTCCTTATATAACTTAGGGAGCATTCTACTATCTCAAACTAAAATTCTTTAGTAATCTTTTTCAAAGAATATAAATAATGTCATGTGTAGTATTACATGTATCTGATCATTCATCCATCATTTCAAGAGGCATTTCATCTATAATTTTGGAAGTTCGATTATAATTAAAGACACAGAATCTAATTCTGACCAACAATTGACCAACAATTATGAAGGTACTTGACATAATGATGTCTTTTTGCAGGCAGACATCATACACAAACATGAATACAAACGATGGAGGAGCACTGGGATAGCTTTTGAACCAAGGGAGGCAACTTATGACATTCCCAACAAAACACTGGCTTCAGGAGTCGTTGTAAATCAGGTAGGATGTACAAAGCTCAACAAAGGTCATCATTCATTAAAAAGGAGGTCAAGGTTATCAGTTATTTAAAGGTCACAAATGTTTATAATGAATAAGGAACTTATATATAGATTGCTTACAAGGTACAAAAAAAAATAAATAATTTTTTAGGTGATATACATACTGGGAAGGTAATCAGTTCTGAATTTTATCTTCAGTAGAGATATGAGATGTATCTGTGGGTATTATGACATGAAGTCTGTCTTAATGTGACTGTATTCTGACAGGGAGGGGAGAAGGTGATGCGGCGGGGATACTGGGGGGACGTCCTGGTCGGACCGTACCTGGCCTTTGGGATTCAATCAGAGGAGAAGTCTTTTTTCAAGAAATCAAACAACCAGTACACCAAGGTAACATAATAATAAATAATACCCAATAACACCCCCCAAGAAAAATACACCAAAAAAAAAAAACAACAGACACATACTGACAAAACTAACAGTAGAAATTATACTATAAATACAAAGGAATCAATTAAACGACAACAAATATCACCAAGGTACATCTGTAACATCAATAAAAAACACTAAAATTCGTAAGTAAATTCACCCTCAGTATTAAAAGGCTCAGTAATTAGATAAACATTTCTGGTAGTATCAAAACACAATACAGTAAAATCAATTATTTTCAGATTTCTCTGCAAGTGGCTGAGTTCAACATTTTATCACTGTTCCATGAGATAGCTCATAAAGAGAAGTACAGTCCACCTAAAATAGAGGAGAAATCTGACGATACGAAAGATAGTAAAGGGGGAGTCACAATTACAGGTAAACACTACAGTAACTACATTCTCTCTCTCTCTCTCTCTCTCTCTCTCTCTCACATAATTTCTCACAGGTATCCTTTGTGCCTATCTTTGAATTAGTAAATTAAATCATTCTGTTTCGTTCACCATGTAGAAATAACTGAAGAAGAAAAAAATTCAGGAGAGACTGATGTTAAGGAGTCAGGAGAATCTCCTAGTAATCCTCTAGGCCAGGCCTATGGTAAGAATTTTTATATCTACAATGTGGGCAAGGCATAATTTCATCAAAACTAATTCAAAGTAAGAATGTATCTGCATAATTCTTCATAAGCATGATATTCTTATGGACCCTTCCCTGCTCATGTTCTGCTCAGACAACTTGTTATTATCTTTTGGTTGTAATGATTATTATATTAAATTTCTATGTGTTCAGAGTATTTTCCCTGAATAACACTGTACTTATAAAAAATATTCATAGTTTTGATGTGTTTCTGAGTGAATATGGAAATTATGATGATTATGTTAAAAAAAATTGATATGCTTAAAATTTCTGTATCAAATGTTTTATGTTACAGAGTTATTACCCCTGGATGATGTTGTGATTATGTATTAAATGTTTTATATTACAGAGTTTTTGCCCTTGGATGGTATTATGATTATGTATTAAATGTTTTATATTACAGAGTTTTTGCCCCTGGATGGTATTATGATTATGTATTAAATGTTTTATATTACAGGGTGTTTGCCCCTGGATGATATTGCGATTATGTAGTAAATGTTTTATATAATTACAGAGTGTTTGCCCCTGGAGGATGTGAAGATAACATTCCTGCCACTAAATTCTCTTCCAGATCTCTCTAAGAAATCCAAATATAAGAACTGCTTCCACACTGTATACTTTGCTAACAGGTGAGTTAAATCAAATATCCTAAGGGGCTTCACATGACCTTCCTATGCCAGATAGGTAGAGGTCAGTGGTAAATAAGCACCTGTCTGTAGAACAAAGGTACAAAATCTGATGAATGTTCTTTGTCTATCTGTTTCCTTTCTTCTACTTATTCATGGTAATTACAGAGGAATGAAAGTTTTAGATTACATTTGCACAATTTTAATCATTTAGGCTGTTTTGAACTGAAATGCATTTCAGTAAGTGACTCCCGTTGTATAGTATTGACATATTCTATCAGTTTTTATTTTTCCCTGATAATCCTCACTCCCCTCTTTTTCCAAAATTGATTCTATAGAAAAGTCTGATATTATTTATTTTTTCATAGTAAAAAAAAGTAGAATTTAAAAATTCCCAATTAATACAGCTGATAAGGTAATCCTGCTTCTCTCATTGCATTTGCACTATGCCAAATGTAAACAAGTAAGGTGGCAATGAGTTTGTATCAATTAATTATTGATTCCAGTTTTAGCTGCTTTCAAAATCAATCCCATGATTTAGCCATCTTCCAAGAATAATATTCACTGGCCCTTTGGCTTTGAGAATATTGTACTCTTCAGTTTGCTTAATCATCATATTGTCTTCAAAACAGCAATTATTGTATATTGGTTAATGGAGATTGTTATTTGTTTCGGTTTAGTTAACGGAGACTGTTATTTGTTATAGTTTAGTTAATGGAAATTGTTATTTGTTACAGTTTAGCTAACGGAGACTGTTATTTGTTATAGTTTAGTTAATGGAAATTGTTATTTGTTACAGTTTAGCTAACGGAGATTGTTATTTGTTACATTTAAGTTAATGGAGATTGTTATTTTGTTACAGTTTAGTTAATGGAGATTATTTGTTACAGTTTAGTTAATGGAGAATGTTATTTGTTACAGTTTAGTTAATGGAGATTGTTATTTTGTTACAGTTTAGTTAATGGAGAATGTTATTTGTTACAGTTTAGTGAATGGAGATTGTTATTTGTTACAGTTTATTTAATGAAGATTGTTATTTCTTACTGTAACAGTTTAGTTAATGGAGATTATTATTTGTTAATGGAGATAGTTATTTGTTACAGTTAAGTTAATGAAGAGTGTTATTTGTTACAGTTTGGTTAATGGAGATTGTTATTTGATACAGCTAATGGAGATTGTTATTTGTTATAGTTTAGTTAATTTGTTATAGTTTATTTAATGGAGATTGATATTTGTTACAGTTTAGATATTATACACTTATCCACTAATTGTGAGTGTGATAGCCCTTTTATCAAATGGATTTTGTTATTTGTTATAGTTTATTTAACAGATTGATATTTGTTACAACTATTCCCCGAGGGCTTGCTCTTTTATCAAACCCGCGACAGTGAACTATTCCCCGAGGGCTTGCACGAGGGGAATAGTTCCTGTCAAGGGTTTGTTGAAAGAGCTATCCAACTCACAACCAGTGGATAAATGTTTTATTATACTGATGTATAATTACAATTTTTGAGGTTTGAATTATTTTTGAGTAAGATAATACTACAAGAATAATCTCACATCATGATGACGTCACAATGCTACTGAAGTCATTATGACATCATCAGTCAATAGATTTATCGCTGGAAATCAAAATTGGTGGCAAAAATTGCATGAAAATTTTCCGAGGGTGGATAGCAAAAACTATACCCCGTGGTATAGCTTTGCTATGCGTAGACTATCAAAGATAGCTATTTTACCTTCTGAACTTTATATAGAAAACATTTTAACAGAAGTATAATAATGGAGATTGTTATATATTACAGTTTGATTATATGTTACAGTTAAGTTGATAATATTGTTATTTGTTATAGTTTGGTTCATCTTTTAACTCCTGAGGTGGCGCCTATCTTCAGAGATTCAGCGACTGTGATGATAGAGACAGCAAGGTATCAGTATACAGCTAAAGTATATCATTGAGGGGGTTAGCAAGATTCCAGTTCCCCAAGACCAGGACTATTTCCGGAAGTGCAGCGTGCCTCGGGAAATAGTCCTGGCCGAGATGAACTATACTATACTATACTATACTATTTATAACTGTTTTATTATACCGATACAAATTTATATTGTAAAGATAACCTTTTAAAAAAAATATTCATTTCCAGATTAACTAATCATTATGTGTCGCAAATAACAAATTAGAAGACAGTTATTCCCTAATTCTAATGCAATCATTGCATTCTGTTGTTGTTTACATCTTATTTTGTTATATGAAATACGTCACAAAGAATTGTGTTTTTGCATCGCTCTATTATGACATCACAATGAAAAGCTATAACCGCAAATTAGCATGACTAGCTTTCGACCGAGGGATTAGCTAAAAAAAACTAATGCACGATGATTAGCTGATTCACAGCGATTTCTAGGGAATTGTGCAGATCTTATAATCACTTATTTTATATAGGGAAAAATCAGTAGAGGTATAATAATGGACATCATATTTATACAGCAAGACTTATTTATAACAATGTTACAGTTGACAGTTTATATTGGACATTTTTTCACTATGTTTTTCTGTTCTTCTTAAAACTGTTCATTTGTATTGCATAAACTATAATATCATCAGTCTAGGTTATTTTTTCAGCCATGTCTTTATTTCAGAAGTTAAATGCATTAAGTTGTGTTTACTAAAATTTTACAGGTATATGCTGGAACTAAAAGATGAACAAGAACTAGAATTTGCCAACAAAGTAGTGGGATTAGCTAAAGCAGCTGGTTGTCAGGTAAAATTGTTCAAAAGTTGTTGGATTAGCCAAAGCATTTAATTGTCAGGAATGCCTTATGTTGTTGGATTAGTTAAGACAGCCTTTTGTCAGGTAATGTTATGTTGTGGGATTAACTAGTGCAGGTGGTTGTCAGGTAATGTCGCTATGTTGTGGGATTAGCTAAGGCAGGTGGTTGTCGGGTAATGTTGTTATGTTGTGGGATTTGCTAAGGCAGGTGGCTGTCAGGTAATGTTGGATTAGCTAAGGCAGCTGGTTGTCAGGTAATATTGTTATGTTGTGGGATTAGTTAAAGGCAGATGGTTGTTAGGTAATGTTGTTATGTTGTGGGCTTAGCTAAGGCAGGTGGTTGTCAGGTAATGTCGCTATGTTGTGGGATTAGCTAAGGCAGGTGGTTGTCAGGTAGTGTTGTTATTTAGCTAAGGCAGGTGGTTGTCGTAATATTATTATGTTGTGAGATTAGTTAAAGGCAGATGGTTGTCAGGTAATATTGTTATGTTGTGGGATTAGCTAAGGCAGGTGGTTGTCAGGTAATATTGTTATGTTGTGGGATTAGTTAAAGGCAGATGGTTGTTAGGTAATGTTGTTATGTTGTGGGATTAGCTAAGGCAGGTGGTTGTCAGGTAATGTTGTTATGTTGTGGGATTAGTTAAAGGCAGATGGTTGTCAGGTAATATTGTTATGTTGTGGGATTAGCTAAGGCAGGTGGTGTAATGTTGTTATGTTGATTTAGGTGGTTGTGTGGGATTAGCTAAGGCAGGTGGTTGTCAGGTAGTGTTGTTATGTTGTGGGATTAGCTAAGGCAGGTGGTTGTCAGGTAATATTGTTATGTTGTGGGATTAGCTAAGGCAGGTGGTTGTCAGGTAATATTATTATGTTGTGGGATTAGCTAAGGCAGGTGGTTGTCAGGTAATATTGTTATGTTGTGGGATTAGCTAAGGCAGGTGGTTGTCAGGTAATATTGTTATGTTGTGGGATAAGCTAAGGCAGCTTATTGTCAGACAGGAAATGTTTTCTCTTGTGTTATGCCCTACAAGTGTTTTTGGAGGGAAAGAGTCTAAAGGAGGGAGGAATGAGTGGTAAGATGGGACCAATTGCTGATGGCCAGATACCTTGGTAGCACCTGATTAAAGAATATCAGGGGGCCTAGAATCTTGGTCTAGTCTTTCAAATTAAATTTTCTCTTCTCCATTTACTTTTATGTCTACTTTTTCAAATAAACCTTTGCAAATTTGGCCTTAGCTTTAATAAATTTTATTTTTGTCTACTTTTCCTGTATTTACCTTAGTCAGGCAGTAAGCAGTGTGCTATTTATGTTGAACTCTTTGTAAGGGCAGGATAAACCCCAATCAGTTTAACTGTATACAATATTTTATTCATCGAGTTGTGTCTTTTGTTGTATTGAAATAATCTGTTAATCTAACTGAATTTTTGTTTTGCTTTTAGGATCCAGGAGATTTTGATGCTAAATCATCAAATGTCATAACCTTCAAATATGAGCGCCCCTCCTCCTGATATTTATTGGATCTGAGTTTCATCATCATTATCATTTTGAGAGACATTTATTGAACTATTTATTGACACTCAGTGACATCAGTTCCTTTTAATATGGTTTTGTTCATCCTTATAAGCCATGTTTAATTTAAAATATTCATTATCAAAGATTAAAATATTTTATTTGCAATGAACATGTTGTCTTGATCTCTGTTTCATTGTCATTTTTGAGTTGGCTCACGTAGCGAGCTACTCCTTGTTGACACAGCCGTTTCAGAACTGTAAAATTTATCACGCATTCAGCAAGGTGATCCATATGCCAAATATGATAGTTCTAGCAAAAAATGCTTTTGTTTGAGTTATTGTATAAACTTAGGTTGTAAAAACTGTATAAAATTTCATACTGTTACATTACTTATAAAGAAATTTTTGTTTAAATATATGTAAAATATACAATTACTGCATAAAAATTATGAATAAATGTTCAAGCATGTTAGGCGGATCTAATCTTCCCATCTGAAGTTTATTTTTAATGGACCTAGAATACTCCCTCACACAAACACCTAATGCTCTCATTAGATGTAGCTAGTGTGATTGATTTGCAGTGGGAATCTTTAAACTAATTACTCCATAACACTGACCACTGTAGCTAGTGTGCTTAAATTCATTATAGAATCCAGGTTAGCAGTGCTGCTTTTCACAATAATACGTACGGAAGCCCATTAGTGCAAACCTGTTTATATAAAGGAAATTTAAAGCAATATACACTTTATTTTTTAACCGAACATGGAGACATATTATATTCAATCTCTTAGATGCAAAATAAACTGAATATAAGGCATGGTGTCCAGATGTATGAAAAAGCTCAATTAATTGAGCGAGTCAACTCGCAGGCCCTTCAGGCCTTTGATTATGATTTAAAAACAAAGAATACTGCCTAGTCTGACAGACACTGATTGGGCTGACACTGACTTTACTAATGAAACAAATTTGTGTTTTCTTGGGACTTCATTATAAGGTTGCACTAGAGCTGCAAGGAGTTTATATACAACCATCTTGGACATTAACTTGATGAATTTATAAAGATGTCAAGCCTAGCTGGGTCACATGTTCAAACCAGTAAATCTCTTTTAGTAGTTTTGAGAATCTCAGTCAAGCTGTTAATTGTACAAATTACAGTTCAACTTGGGTATCTTCAATTACTGGGCTCAACAGGTTCAACACACTGCATTCCAGGGACATGTAAAAGTACCCAGATCTTATTATGCATATCAAACTCCAATTTAAAAATTCTCACTGAATTCAAACTCTTTCCAGATATTTTCAATTAAGATAAAACAAAAGAGATCTTCATATAAAGAAACAAGATTTATATTTTTTAATGTTTAAAACAATACAAACTCTTATTGCACTTGAAAACATGGTCAATATCAAATCAGCACACATAAACATGGTCCACATCACAACCAGCACACATACACAGACTGTTCCACGCGAGTGACAACTGGATGAATGATTGGTTCTAAGGGAGGCTACTGTTTACAGTCTTTATATATTACTGGCTCCTTGTTTTTCACAGGCTTCGATAACTTGTTGTAAGTTTGTATCAAATAAATCACATCTGTAACAAATCAATATTAGAGTTAAACAATAAGAAATTTCACACAAACAAGGTCACTATAAAATTAAGCAGTGTGCAGCCAAAACATGGATACTGGTGTGAATTTCTTACTCTGTTGATATAATGTCATAATGGACAGTCATCAGAAAAACGCCTATGTTTGGGGGAGTAGAAAATTGTCCCAATGTTGACACCAGGTAAATTTTGCTCTTTCGACTATAAATATATACTGAGATGAGCAGGTAGTCAACAATACAGAAGTCATAATGTCCAAGTTCTTACATTTACGGAGGAAATATCAATGTGACCATTGATGGATGTTGACATATACCAAGTGGGTGTCATATCCCACATTGTTAACACATCTAATGTTGAGCTTCCAAAATTTACTAGACAGTACAGACAGTGCTTAATTCCATTTAAAGACAATACACACACTTACCGTACAGGCATATCTACAGAATAGAATGGGTTTTTCAGGGCAAAGTCAGAAAACACCTCATACATCTTGCGTAATAATATGTCAACCCCTCCTTGTCGTGGGTCTGTTAGGGCGATAAATTTGATTCCTGCAAAAATAAAAATATTAAGTTTTCTGCCATATCATTACAAAGCATAAGTAAAACTTACCTACTATAAGTCAGCTATGACTAAATAAGCAGAAAATTTTACCAAAGTAAAATTTGTTTCAAATAAAGTTATGATATAAGCCACAGGGGCAACTCATCTGTTCTGTTCTCTATTAGATATATAAAATATTAAAATATTAATTAAAAATTTAAATTTGGGTAATAAAGAACAGTATATAAAATGCCCTGTGCATAAGCTTACAAGAATTAAATTTAGTTACAATACTTGAACATGATGAAAATGAAGGCTGGTTTCTCACTTTCTCCATAGAAGACAGTACCTGTCATTGTTTGGTAGCAGTGTAACTTGAATCCATCTGTTTCCAGAACTTCAATGCCCGATGAATGTGGCTCAGGAGATAGCTGAGATCCAATGGCAAATAATCTTCAAAAAGGATTAAAAATCATTCGTTACCTATTTAATTTACAGGTATTTATTTATTCAACAATGAGCATAGACATTTTCAAATATTTTTATTTCCACTAATTTCCACCTGTTAAAAACATTATGTTTTTTTTTTAAATAAAATACATAAAACTTGTTCTGTATAAGCAAATGTGGTCTGTATTACTCACGAATGAAACATGCTGCCCAGCATAATTCGCTCGTTGGTGGTGAGCCTTGTCCGACCAAACTTGAGGTTGATTGGGTAGTTCTGGGGGGAATTAATGATTTCCATGGCATCTTTTCCATCACTTTGAAGAAATCTTCCTTCCACAGGCACCCCATTTATTGCCAAAAGTGTATGTCCAACTAGAAGCAGAAAGGTTGTGTTATATAGCTGGTAATTGGCAATACTACTCTATTTACTAAGCTCCTAAAGTTTAATAATAAAATATTCAACAACTGGAATCTATGGTGGCATATTTCTGCCCCCTTCATGGCAGAGTTTTTCACTCTACGATTCAATCAGAAATGGTAATACCGCCACCATTTTATGAACTCATTCATGGCCAACAACATATCTTGCACGTCAACATAGTTATCTTGCATGTTGACATAAAGAAGTCACATGTTGACATAAATAAGTCACATGTTGACATGATGTTGATATAAACATGTTGCATGTCTACTTATAATTTAATTTTAGTGTAGACAATGAGACAATTTTTCCTCAAGAAAAATGCTTCAAATTGAGCATATTTTTAAAGTAACGTAAAGCGGAGTAAAACATTTTTGACATTACTCATTGCGACAAAGGCAAGTTATGTTATACAAAATGGATTTAATGTTTTACCCAATCAAATGATGTGTTACAACAATAATTTAATTATATAATTATGTTGCATGTTAACATTATCTTGCATGTAGGGGGCAGAAATATGCCACCATAGACTACCAAGGAAAAAGTTTGGTTTATATTAATGTTAAAAGCTTAACTTTCTTCATAGCCTACTTCAATAACAAACTGTTAATAAAGACTCTGTGTTAACAGATTCCATGTCTCTGTGAAGGTAACGGGTTCGTTCGCCCGATCTACCTGTTCGCAGGAGTCCGTTCGCGCAGAGTCCGTTCGCCCGAAATATTTTTCGCCCAATATCTTATTCGCCCTATATGTGGTTTGCCAAATACTTATGTATACTTATAAATATAAACTCTGTTTATTTCTTTACGAACTTGGGATATTTTTTCCCAAATTCTGATACGAAGAACAATTTTTTTTTAGTCTTAATTAATTTTTGATTTGATACTAATGTTTTTTCATGACTTAGTGTTTACACTATAGTTAATTAGATGATTAATATGATTATCAATGTTAATGAGGGGGATACATCTGTGTTATTTTTACGAATTGCGCTATGTTTTGAAAACAAAGGACTGAGACGTTAATAGGCCCATTATAGTACTGAACAGCGGATGTTGAAGGTTTTACCTTTGAAGAATCTCCCTTTGATCTCAAAAAATGAAACATAAAAAAATGGAAGATAGAAATTTTGGAAAGAAATTGATTATATTTTATTCTACATTAAATGGGCGAACGGACCCTGTGCGAACAAGTTTTAGGGCGAGCGGACTCTGGGCAAACGGTAATTTGGGCGAACGGGAAATCGGGCGAACAATTTTTAGGGCGAACGAACATGGAACCCTCTGTGACTGAGACATGAATCTGCATGACTCAGACAGTCAAACTACATCTAAGATCTAGTGTCTATCACAGGGACGGCAAATTTATTCATAGAACAATGTAAGCTTTTACAATAATCAGTGAGTTGCCACTGGTTATTCTTTACATTGCTTTACAGATACAACTGCCGACTCCTCTGGTCTTTCAGTTTCACCTTTGATTCCATCTCTTTCTCCAAATGCTACGACGAGTTTCTCATCGTGTTGCTTAAGAACAAGCTCTATTGGAAAACTGAAAGTTTTCTCTACTTCTGGTCTCTGTGTGTAGTGATCATATTGAAAGATCAACCCTCCAGCTTTGTTTATAATAAAAATACTAAATATTCCCATGACTTTTCTCCATTGAGATTTTTACGTATCTTCCGGTACGTCGATTTACCCAAATGGACCCAAATGGACCCAAATGGAACCCAAATGGACCCAAATGGACCCAAATGGAAATCAAATGGACCCAAATGGAAATCAAATGGACCCAAATGGAAATCAAATGGACCCAAATGGAATTCAAATGGAATTTTTAATATGTTTTACTGCGGTTTTATTAACTTTTACTTGTAAATTAATTACTGTTTTGATTATTTTAAGCATTATATGTGTTCATGTATGTTTGTGAAAATTAATTAAATACTATTTACAATATATTATTATTTTAATGTGTTAAAGTACGTTTTTTTCCTTACGAATAAATATATTTGTATGTGATTATATTTATTTTTTTAAGGGGGATATATAATTGATTTCAATTATTAATGGATAATTATCCAATAGGATCGATGCATTTATAATATAATTTGGAGTACTTTGGAATAACCAATGGGATTAATTTATATCTTTGAGAAGATAATTATGAGACATTTACATTTTAAAAACACGCGTTTTGTGGAAAATTCTTCCTACCAGAATTTTTCTTCAAGGAGAATTTGGATTCTATGTACGGTAAGTCTTTTTTTCTACATTAAATGATTTATTTCCTATAAGATATTAAAGAAGCACTGATTTCATTAAGTGAATCAATAAATATTTCCTTTTATTTTACCTAAGAAATAATGTAATATTATACTTTACTCCGGCTACGTATATCGACATTGATAAGCATACTTTTGTATTCATTTAAAAAGAAGAAATAAAGGAACGTACATACAAGATATTTTAAAATTAAATTATCTTTAAACATGCAATATAGATTAATATAAAAGACATCAATTTGATTTTTGCTTATAAACCAAGTACAATCATCACTTTAATTATACGTATAAACATAACAATTACAATAATCTTAATCTAAATGTTTAATTTCTTAGAAGATATAATTGTTTACCCGTATAAATTAGACCTCCTTATAGGTGATACTGTTCTATAGTAGGGTAATGACGGTATTGTTATGAAAACAACCGATTATTTGACACGCGTCACATGATTTGTGTACTCCTAATAAACAAAGGAAGTATTTCCAAATTACACAACTCCTCGCATTTTGTTAAATAAATTATCTAACATTACAAAAAATATTTACTACATTGTATAGTAAAGCATAGTTTTTCTTTATATGTCAGTAATCTCTGTTTTTAGAAGAAATCTAAATGTATACCATTTTAATTTCGATCTGTAAATGTTTGAATTTAGACATATACAATAAATTTACATGTATACATACAATCTATCTCTTCTTAAATCTTTGTATTATATGAATTTGAGCAGACATAAAATTATTAATTATATATTTATATTTTTTTATACAACATGTACAATCCAAACATTCAATGGAATTTGCTATTTTACTCTTACAAATTTTTCTCCCAATATTCTAAACATTTTGATAATAGGCACGAAATAAAATATGACTTTACAAATGCTAATTAATGTTTTATTTTTGTTACAGATTCCTTTCACAATGCCGCGCAAACAAAAAACCAAGAAGAACGAGTGGCCCTGTGGTCGTTGTAAAAAGAACTGTGTTTCGTCTTGTGTTTTCTGTGCTATTTGTGAAAAGTGGTACCACTGTGCTTGTGAAAATGTAACTTTGGACAAACTTAAAACCATATCAGACAATCCAGAGGATTATATCTGTGATACCTGCCGAAGTGACGATGGGAAATTCGACTTTCTGATGGGACTGGAGCGTCTGAAGCAGGTAGGGATATTATTCTTTATATATCAAAAGTACCAGACTAGGGTATGGAGTCAACGTTCAGAAATAGTAGATAAAATTTAGTACAATTTTAAATATATGGAAATGCTTAAGATATTCTTCCCACAGGTACTTGTGGACAGGACCCCCCCCCCCCCATATACACCCCTGGTCAAAATATTTTTTTTTTCTTTTTTGTCATGAATTATGTTTCTAGTACTTATTTACAACGTATTCCATATGAAAAATCCAAAAAATAACATAGATTTAACGATTTACTAAAAAAGTCATACCCTGGTATTATAAAATAGAGAAGGTAGGTCACTTCGGTTGTTTACATCGGACCCCTCTGGAATATCGGGCTTAAAGTTTCATACACCTACTACATGTCACCAAAATGTGGCATGATATCTTGTTTCGGTAGATATTTTTGTCTTTAATCGTGCCATTTAATTGCCCAGACATTCCCCAATTATCCGAGTATTCAGCGTCAAACGTGAAAATTTGGAAATGTCAAAGCAGAAATTACGGAAGTGATCCAAAAACGACACCTAGCGGGTAACTTTCGAGTTCCGAGTGTCATAGAATAAAGGGAAAAGTCAGAGGACTACGAAAAAGTTCGGGAAAATTTTGATAGAAGAAGTCGAAATTGATTCATTAGAATTTAAATTTTGCTGCAGATTTTCGAGATGAATTAAGGTACAATCATTTTAAGAGGATTTAGCACTGATACAATATAGTGTTTTAAAAATCGCATAGAGACATTAAATGACATGTAAACCACCCCCCTTTCTACGTGGATATGTTTAGGCAAACTGAACTTTTATTTTCTAGTGACTGTGTCTGCGTAAAGGTGGATTTCTGTTAATGCGTTAGTTTAAAAAATAAATACAACCAGAAATGTGCTTATTCAAAACATTCCATTCGCTGTGAGTGTGAGTTCTGAACTCGCTAATTATTTAATATATGGGAAGGAGTGGTGCGCGTCATTACAGGTTAGAATTTTTGTTTCGATTAAACTACAAATGTAGAGGAAGGCGTTTTGAGAGAAAAAAATGCAAGTTTTTATGAATAGCCGTACAAATACATATCCCATCCAATATTCAGTCGTCAAAATCCAGTACTACAACTTGACAATATTATTAAACGATGGCTGTTAGGTAAGACGTACCCAAAGAATTTTTTAAAAGTCTCTAAATTTATACATAGACAGGCTCGTAGGAAGCAATTTCAGACTGGGGGATGGGTAACAGCCAAACATTTTAAGTTAAGGCATTATGCTTAGTATGCTATCAACTAAAAATTCCTCAAAGCAAAAAAAAAAATGTCACTGGTTTTTATTGAGGGGGCACGAGCTTATAATACCTATGTTTTCTACAGTATATTATATAATATACTGATATTATTCTTACGGCAATGTTAGATAAATGAAAAGAAGTTAAGCTTCTTTAACAAAGCAGCTAGATATACACAGTCAAGACCAGAAACAAACTCCGAGGCTGTAGTTAGGACAATAAACGAGAGCATGTCGTAATGAAAAGTTCCGATTTTCATTTATTTTTAAGAAACGACTCATATATGCTTAAATTCTTTGGCAAATGAGAAATATTGTATAAGATTATTAAATTAATGATATCGGAATTATTGTACAGTGGGGGTGGGGGTTACATATCTTTTAATGTCTATATGCGATTTTTAATAATGGTATCAGTGATAAATCCTCTAAAAAGAATACTGGTATTAATGATGACTGTACCTTAATTCATCTCGAAAATCTGCAGCAAAATTTAAATTCTAATGAATCAATTTCGACTTCTTCTATCAAAATTTTCCCGAACTTTTTCGTAGTCCTCTGACTTTTCCCTTTATTCTATGACACTCGGAACTCGAAAGTTACCCGCTAGGTGTCGTTTTTGGATCACTTCCGTAATTTCTGCTTTGACATTTCCAAATTTTCACGTTTGACGCTGAATACTCGGATAATTGGGGAATGTCTGGGCAATTAAATGGCACGATTAAAGACAAAAATATCTACCGAAACAAGATATCATGCCACATTTTGGTGACATGTAGTAGGTGTATGAAACTTTAAGCCCGATATTCCAGAGGGGTCCGATGTAAACAACCGAAGTGACCTACCTTCTCTATTTTATAATACCAGGGTATGACTTTTTAAGTAAATCGTTAAATCTATGTTATTTTTTGGATTTTTCATATGGAATACGTTGTAAATAAGTACTAGAAACATAATTCATGACAAAAAAGAAAAAACAATATTTTGACCAGGGGTGTATATGGGGGGGGGGGGTCCTGTCCACAAGTACCTGTGAGTAATCTCTGTTTTTAGAAGAAATCTAAATGTATACCATTTTAATTTCGATCTGTAAATGTTTGAATTTAGACATATACAATAAATTTACATGTATACATACAATCTATCTCTTCTTAAATCTTTGTATTATATGAATTTGAGCAGACATAAAATTATTAATTATATATTTATATTTTTTTATACAACATGTACAATCCAAACATTCAATGGAATTTGCTATTTTACTCTTACAAATTTTTCTCCCAATATTCTAAACATTTTGATAATAGGCACGAAATAAAATATGACTTTACAAATGCTAATTAATGTTTTATTTTTGTTACAGATTCCTTTCACAATGCCGCGCAAACAAAAAACCAAGAAGAACGAGTGGCCCTGTGGTCGTTGTAAAAAGAACTGTGTTTCGTCTTGTGTTTTCTGTGCTATTTGTGAAAAGTGGTACCACTGTGCTTGTGAAAATGTAACTTTGGACAAACTTAAAACCATATCAGACAATCCAGAGGATTATATCTGTGATACCTGCCGAAGTGACGATGGGAAATTCGACTTTCTGATGGGACTGGAGCGTCTGAAGCAGGTAGGGATATTATTCTTTATATATCAAAAGTACCAGACTAGGGTATGGAGTCAACGTTCAGAAATAGTAGATAAAATTTAGTACAATTTTAAATATATGGAAATGCTTAAGATATTCTTCCCACAGGTACTTGTGGACAGGACCCCCCCCCCCCCCCCCCCATATACACCCCTGGTCAAAATATTTTTTTTTTCTTTTTTGTCATGAATTATGTTTCTAGTACTTATTTACAACGTATTCCATATGAAAAATCCAAAAAATAACATAGATTTAACGATTTACTAAAAAAAGTCATACCCTGGTATTATAAAATAGAGAAG